GTGGCTCCTAGTCAAAACAATACAGTTCTCATACTGCATTTCTCATGTCTGGGCACCATTAAAGGCACTACCATTTCCAAAACAAAGCCAGGCTGGGATAGTTTAAATGTAGATCAGTTAGTGATAGGAGAGAACTGGCATTTTGCTCCGGTTTCACCTTGAAGGCAGGGTTCAAACATTTTAAAGACCACTTTTACAAACAGAAATATTGGGTAACACCCAACATCTGAAGTCTAATGATTGAGAAATACAGAATTCTTGCGGGCACAGGCTCTTGTGGGTGTGCAGGATTAAGCCCAAAGATCATAATATTATTTCCTCCTACTTCCCTTCTCCAACTTTCACGAGTGCTACGTTCTGTTGTTGGGGCTTGCCCTGTGTTATTAAGAGTTGCCTTTGCAGATGTGAGTAATAATATGAAGATGTACGACAGGAAAAAGAAATATTTCAACAGGCTTTAAGAAACATACTAATAAATCCTTCACGATATATTAATCAATTGCCACTTACAAGATGGATTTTAGCTGGTGGAGGAAGATTTGTCTCAATAGGGAAAAGAAAAATATTTATTTTAATTAAAGGATTTCAGCAGTTTGCCTGCTTTTGTGAAAGACATTCCTTAATCCTGTGGGTGCAGCAATCTGCACTCTTCTGAAACTGAGTTGTGCTCTCATAAATTCCTCAGAAGTTGGCTGAGCAGTGACTTTACTCAGTACGTTTTCAGTCCAACTACAGCCTTGAATATTAAAGAGTTGCCTTCTTCTCCCAGTCCTACACCACCTGTCTCTGCAGAAAGCCCCTGGGAACTGCTGCAGGAAGAGGCATCCTGTGATACTTCCTTAGTGAAATCCTACTGCTCACTAAGTCCCTCAAGGCATAAAATCCCTTGATCCCTGCATTGGCTCAGCCCAAACTGTCTGATATGGCTCATTATACACCAAATTATATTTAACTAACAGGGTTTGAAGAAAACCCACGTATTGTTAGGAACGGGATAAGCAGGAAAGGTCTTCACAGACATTCAGCCACTGAAATGGGTATGCCTTCAGTGCTGCCAGCCTTTAATTCCAGAGGCTGGGATTGCAGGTAGTGATGCACAGCAACATCTCCTGGCTCTGCTGGGTCAAGAGCTGCCAGTGCAGCGTGGTGCCCACCCTGCCCTGCCTGGGGCAGAGGGGTGAGCACTGGGGATCCTGTGCTGGCTGTGTGTGTGCTGAAGAGAGGAGAGAAGGGGCTGGAGGGAGAAGAGAGGGGGCTGCCCAGAACAAAAGGGACAGAGCTTGAGAAGAAGCAAACAAGCCACAGCCTTGGCTTATCTTCCAACCCACATCTGTCCCTCATTCGCTCCTTGTTTCATAGTCTGAGAATATCAAGCACTAAAAAAAATTTTCCCATACTTTTAGGTTTTATGTGTCTGAATGTTTGACACAGAAAACATTCATCAGAGGTCAGAAATTTCTGGTCAGCAGAATACAAGTTAACCACTGTCTTCTTCCTGCTGGGGGGGAGGCAAGTAAACAAACTCCCCAGCCTTAATCACTTTTGACAGCCCAATTTCAACTGCCTCATTTTGATTAGAAATTTGTCTCCCACACTGTTTATAACATTTCTGGCCTGCAGCAGCACTTTTCATGACCACTCAAAACTGTGAGCCTGACTAAACAGTGTGGGGCAGGGTAAAAATGCCTTTGGAATCCCTTGGTCCATCAAAATCACAGCAGGCCTGACAAATCGACCAGCAACAGAGATACATTTTCATATCAATCCAGCTGTTCATTTTGGAAATATCAGAGCATACTCACTTGTGAAGAGACATCCCACCTTCTGTCTGCCAGCTGACAGGAGCACCTGTGTGCTCCCCAGCTGTTTTCCTAAAAAAAAATCATGGGATTTGGCACAACCCACCATCCACAGCTGTCTGAGGGCTGTTGGCCAACCAGGGCTTCCTGAGGCCCCGCCTGGGGAGCCCAGAGCCAGCAGGCAGGGCAGGGCAGGGCAGGGCAGTGCAGGGCAGGGCCAAGGCTGGAGGGATGGCTGGAGATCGTCTGGTCCATCCTCCTGGGCAGAGATGGGCCAAACACACTGACAGTCAGGCAGCTGGGTTACAACCTAAGCAAGACACGATTTAGCCCCAGGCTAAGTCATCAACTCTGTTGAGGACTGGCTGTAGGGGAGGCAGGTTTGGAGCTCACCTGGTTTGCTGAAGGGATGCCAAGACTCTCCACACTCAGTGGCACTGCTCGAAGCTGATGGAGAACTCAACCCCCTTTAGGTGGCCCTGAACACCACCCAGGTGTGTATTTTTTTACAGCATGTCACTGCCACATCCTTTGCTTGTTTTGGGCTTTTTTCATGTTTTTATAAGCTCAGAAAGGTAACAGCTTCAGTGGTTACTTTCATCAAGTAAAAGTGTTTTGTACAAAGAAGCTGCAAAGGTGGCAAACAGCAGAATGCTCTGTACTCCTGGAGATCAGAGTGCAGGAGCAGTTCTCTATGACCAAAATAAAGGGAGTTCAATGTCTGTGGGCACAGCACAACCTACACTCAGCAGTGAACACGGGATAAGTCAAGTTGCAATGTTGACAGGCAGCTGCAGCCTGTCAGAAAGTGAAAAATACCTACACGTTTTTTACCATTGTTGAGTAAACTGTCAATTTAAGCACAAAAGTGCTGTGGCTTTTTAAAAGACAACAATAAATTTAGTTTTAAAAAAATTCCTATTTAGAGAAACTAAATTTACCCTTCTGTGCATAAGGCTTTCTTGGTTTATGTTGAAGTCCAAGTGAAAAAATCCAGATGGTGGTGAGGTTTCTTTCCCCATCTGTACCTGAGGGAACAGAAGTGATAAGATCTGTTCTGTTTTATACATTTCTTCTAAGTACATTATAGCAACTCTGAATTTGCTTTCAATAAAAACAGAACTCCTTGCAGTTTGTTGATATCTGAAAGGCCAGAAGATCTGACCAAAAGAAATGAAATTGCAGTTTGGGGGCACATAAATCCTGAAAGAATCGAGTATTTTTCCTAAATACAAAGTTCGTCATTTCAATTTACGCATCAAATAAAACTCTTAAACTTGCAGTGAAAGAACTTGGAATAAAATGTTGATGTAAGTTATCGAAAAGAGCACAGTCAGACCCAGCCTGTGTGATAAGGCTCTTTCTAAGCCACCAGCAAGAGGGAAAAATTGGCAAAGGGAGTTTTGAAGCTCCCAAAGACATGAATAAGTCTCTATGACTTAGTCAATACTACAAAACTAGATAAACAGGCCAGCATGGGACAGCTGACAGAAGGGCAATAACACAGTAACAGATTAGGTGGCAGACAGAATTATCTCTTGATAATTCTTGACCACACCAGCGAATCGAGCCTCTCTTCTTTTGCAACCCTTAGTTTGCATATACAGGAGGAAAGAAACAGAGAATTCCCCTGCCATTTCATCAGAGACAATATTACCATCATTTGAACTGATATTCCTGGGAAAAAGAAGTTTATGTTGCTTGAGCCAAAAATTACCAATTTATCACTGTTGGCAGAAGCATCTCAATTTCATCACTGTATAAATGTCTAGTAGAGAAAGAACAGAATGAACTATTTCAGCACACAGTGCAATGTGCAAACTAGACACATCATCCAATGATTAGTGGACAAGAATAGCTTTAACATAAACACTATTTCTGAGTGAATTCAATATTACTTATCCTTTTCTAAATTACACCACTGAAAGTTTTCAGAGATAATCCTGCTTTCTTTCACTTTTGTTTCTCAGGGGCTGAAGAATACATAGTGTGGGATGGTTTGTCTTATCAAATATTCTTAAGAAGTTCATGCACTTAGAGGCTTCTGTTAGGAGACAGAGTGTTTGTTATCACTTTGCTTTTTTCTTCTCCTTCTGATAGGAGAATATGGTATTCTGGAGATCAAAAGCAAGTGGATGAAATGAACAATGTGGCATCAGCTCATGAATTCATACCTATCTGAAACGTCATAATACTTATTAACACAAATTAACATCTGCACTTAAGATATTAAGTATTTTTCACTCAAGGAGCAAAAGGATTTCAAAAAAACCCACTAACTTTGGAGCAGAAAAATATCTGTAAATGCATGAGGAGAAAAAGCAACAAACCTTGTTGAACTGCTGAAGAGCAGGAAATGTAGCTCCAACAGTTTCACGGAAGATAAAACTGGCAGTATGCCACTGCCTGGGACAGAGTTAATTTTCATCTTAGAATCACAGAATCATTAAGGTTGGAAAAGATGCCTCAGGTCATCCAGTTCAACCAGCACCACTGTGTGCACCATTAAACCATATCCAGGTGCCACATCCACAGTTTTTGGACACTTCCAGGGATGGTGAATCCACCACTGCTCTGGGCAGCCTCTTCCAGTGCTTGACCAGCCCTTCAGTGAAGTAACTTTCCCTGATATCCAGTCTAAACCTCCCCTGGCACAACTTTAGGCCATTTCCTCTCATCCTGTTACTTGTCACCTGGAAGAAAGGACTGACCCCCACCTGGCTACAACCTCCTGTCAGGGAATTGTAGAGAGTGAGAACATCCTCTCTGAGCCTCCTTTTCTCCAGGCTGAGCCTCCCCAGCTGCTCCTCATCAGACTTGTCCCCCACCTCTGTTGCCCTTCTCTGGACACGCTCCAGCCCCTCAATGTCCTGCATGAACTGAGAGCTTGACACAGGATTTGAGGTGTGGCCTCACCAGTGCCCAGCACAGAGGGACAATCACTGCCCTGGTCCTGCTGCCACAAGCCAGGATGCCATGCCCACCAGTTTCTCCAGAAGAAGGGGAAACAGTGTCTGCAGAAACTATAGAAATCCTTTGCTTCACTATAGTCCAGGTAGACACATCCACAGCCTTTCCCTCATCCCTGGTCATAAAAGGACATCAGGTTAGTCAAGCAGGATCTGCCTTTCATAAAGTTGTCAAGATTCTGGTGATGAAATAATTATAATAAAGCCACAATTATAATACTCCAAAGATAGATGTTTATTGAGTTGCTGAAAAATACAAGTATTCCAGTAAGTCTGTCACATTTAAATGTTAGCTAAAAAAACCCCACAGAAGTTACAGATACAGTCTAGTTGTTCTACTTCCCCACTACATTGAAAATTATGGTAAAATGAATCACCTGTGAATTTCAGAAAATTTAACAGGCTCTTATTTCTCTTATATTGCCCTTACTAGCAACTACGAGCTATTGTGCTGAAGTTATGCACTGGTCAGCTCTGAAGGCAATGTGTTATAAGCTGTGAAAACTAGGTATTTGTAGCATAATTTACTCTTTGGCTATATAATCAGAATATTATTAGCATGAGATTTTCATTATTAATGAGGCCTAACTAATTAAAACCTCTAATAACTACATACACATTTTCCCAACAGATTTAATCCGCTAAAGTCATTCCCACATTAAACTTTCCCCCTTTTTAAAAAATATTCTTGGAAGGGTTCTAACAGCCACCTGTAGCCACCTGACTGATGTGTTTGAACATAGAATCAGAAACAGAACTCTGTGAAAAAACAGAGGAGTAGTCAATTTTTTTCCCCCAAATCTCAGTCTCCACAAAGTCAGAGTATCAGAACAGCAACACTTGCCTGGGGCACCAGAGTTACATCCACCTCTGGTGTGGACAGATCCTAATGAGAAAGTTAAAAGGCTGCAGTGGATTGTAGCCAATGCAAACCTGCAGCTGCTGAGAGCAACGTGTCCAAGTGCTCTGCAATCAGGACCTGAAGGGAGGCTGTAAGGGCAGACACAGCACAAGAACAGACACTGCAGGTACCTGAGACTGCGGGGGGAGATCCAAGTCTGAATGGCAGAGTTCCAGCAGCAGCAGTTCACCATCTTTGATTTAAGAAACAGAAGCTCGGTGTGACTTGCACAAGTTGCTGCAGTCAGCAAGACCTACGCAGAACCTAAGAACTGCTCCTGAAGAATCACTGGGTGGTGGGAGCACTGCAGTGAGGATCATTAAGTGTATTGGGTGCCTTTAGTCCTCACACACTGCCAGACCCACTGCAGCCTGCCGGCCAGAAGCACCTTCACCAGAGCAGGTGCTGTGAACCATCTACATTGTGTTTAGAGATGTATTTACCAAACTTTTAACACCTCACGACTCAGTGAAAAAAGTCCATGTCTGAGACATACTATCCATAGCTGATAATCAAAAGATAAAGGAACATACAAGTTTGGCACGCTGATCAAACGTACCAAGCTCAAATTAATACTAAAATTACATTGCAAAGCTTTGTGACTTTTACATTTCTCTCACGTGGGAATCACAGAGGGTTATTTGCTTACTTTGATTATTCAAGAGTGACCTTCCCCATGAAGATTGCCAAGGACAGACAGGAATCTCGTGGTTCATGAAGTTCAGTGCGGAACAGAGGGTTCTGAACACGGTATCATTCCCCTTTAACACTCCAAAAGCCTTTTCATAAGAGAAAAGTTTTTTTTAGAGCTGAAAACTGAACAACAGGCTCAGAACATTTCAACTACAGACCCCTTACTGGTAACAGCAAAAAAGTTCCAGCTGTTGAGATGCCCTTGTCAAGGAACGGTGTTCACTCTCCTTGTAATGCTGCTCCCCAGTTTCTGCTTTATAGTGCCAAAATGTGCTTCACCAGAAAACAAGGAGCAGCTGGGTGTGTGCAGGTGAAGAACAAGGTCTCACAGGGGAAAACATCTCTTAAAAAAGAGCACTTTCAAGTCTAAAAATAAAATTGTCCACATCTTTAAATAATCAGAAAGAAATTAAGGTAAAATAAATTTCATCACATAAAATTCTCTTTTAACCCCCATTTGAATAACCCAACTTAACTACAGCTCCAAACTCTGGCAGTTCTGTTTCCCTAATCTGGATCTGCTAATTAATGACTGCAAATCACACAGATTATCTGTGCTATTGCCAGGGAACAGAAGGGAAGCAGATCACCTCTGTCAGGAGGAGTTTCCATACTGGATTAAGCTTATCATTAGCAAGACTCAAAAAACTCTTGTTGTTCCAAACAGACAGGCCAGAAGACATTAGGTGGTTTTCATGTTGTGTAAGACAGGCAAGTGTGTAAGAGTATAAAGGCAGGGCTACAAGTGAAGGCATCTTGATCTTCACATATTCTCACCACTGCTTTCCCTGCTGGTCAAAGCCCAGCATAGTCCATGTGTGGATGTGTCCCATGTCCCTGGCACAGGACTCAGTATTTCTTTAGTTTGTCAAGAAACATATTTCCTGGTATGTAACCAGGCAGGTCACTGATCTATTGAAATGACAACACAGACATTTGAGAGAACATACAACAGATTCTCATTATTTACTACAAATATATAAAACCTGAAGTGAAATCAAATTGAATAACTTGACTACATGGAAGTTATGAAACAGTTCGTACTTTATACACAGCGTATGTACACTGGTTTTGGAAATGTGGGTTTTATCCATGCAAATTTAATACAAAACACTATTTACAAAAAAGTAAGAGTAAGAACATTTTTCAAAAGAAACATGTATGTTGGAAGCTCCAGCAATAATGGAAATCCTGAAAAAAAGGCTTAATACAGTATAGTACAAGTAGACAATCTTCAGAAGTGTGGAAGATGCACTTTACAAGAACATGAAATGCAAAACAAATTGAAATGCACTATCAAAAATTTTCCAAGTATATACACAATCTGAGCATGTATTTTTAAATGATCACTCTCCAGCTGTGCCTCAGAACTTCTTCTGCCACGTCCTGCACACATTTACATATTGACCATTTGGTTACACTGCATTTTCCGAGTTTTAGAACCACGAGTTACAAAGTAAAATAACTGAATACCAACTGAATGGTAACTGTAAATTGATCACATTTTCCTTGTTCTAGACATTATATAATAGTCAAAAGTATTCACATTATTCCCAATGTATTCCACCAAACAACCCTTTTGCAATACACCTCTGTATGCCCTTCCTGGGAATCCCAGCCTGGCATTACTGCTGGTGCCACAGCCAGGAATTCCCATGGCTGCAGCAATGCTTCATGTAACACATCCTTTCAGGAAACACAACTGGATCAACATCTGCATGTGAAGAGCACAGTCTTGCACATGCTCTAGGATGCACATCAGTATTGAACAGTTACTGGGAGTTCCCACGGCAGGTATGGCACAACCAGACCCTACGCAAATATAGTCATTTGGGAAATACTCCACTGGTTCATTCATTTTAAAAATGGAACAGAGCAAAAAAGTATCCTTGTGGCATTTCTCAATATTTTACCATCTGCCTCCATAAAATTATTGGGGGGAAAAAAGTTTGGTTTGCCTTATTTCACACAATTTTGGAAGAAGTGAGGAAATCCTCATCAGTGCCAAGAATTCACTTTAAATGACTGACTTAATGCTGTAGCTGAGTTATAAAACTATTTTTTGAGGGAAGTTCTGGTCTCATTGAAGTCTTACAATCACAGACTTGTCTAGGTTGGAAAAGACCTTTGAACCAATCAAGTTCAACTGCAAACTTAACACTGCCAAAAGGAAAAGTTACCCAAAACAACTAAATTTGCTGTCAGTCTGAGCTATCCTTCTCCTTTAGAATCTGCTAAGATACTACAGTAATTATGGGAAAACTTTTTGGTTTTTGCTTATTTGAAGAGTAGGATTCTCAAATGTGTATGTAAAAAACACACTGAAAATTCTTCTTTGAAAATGTAGTCAGCTATAAAACATTTGAACTAAAAATGCCTGATTGTAGGATTTTATGATAACTTGTATTCCTTCCATGCATCTTACAGCAATTCTGCCTCCCTTTGCCTCTCACACTAAAAAAAAAATAAATAATCAAAACCAGTCAGGAAACAAATACTTCATATAACCACAATTTTAAGATGCTGTCAAATTGTACTACGTGAAATATTTAAAAGACAAATAAAGCAAGTGGCAATTTATTATGTAAGAAACACAAGAGCCAGAACTGCTCCCGTGCAGTTTTAAACTAAAATTTAGTTAATCACATATATTCTCTCTTTTAATAGTGAAGATCAGCAGAAACTTTCTTCACAGGAAGGGAATAATTTATCTTCACATTTATTTCACAAAATGAATCTGTACCATAAAATTCCTCATTAAAAACACACACTCCACCTTTCCCTCTGTAAATGAATGACACATATCCCGGTGTGCTGAGTATGAAACAAACCCAGTAACACTGTTTTCATTCCCTCACATGACAGCACAACGTGAGTTATGTCCTTGGCCAACTACACTTTGCCTTTCCCACTTCTGGTCTGAATGAACTCTTTTTGTTTTAATCCCAGTTTTGGTATGTTGGGGTGGTGTTCTGTTTGCTTTTGCTTTTCAAGTGAGATCCTCATGAAAGAAACACAGACATTAACCTCATTTATTGAGGAAGCAGAGAGATTTCATTTGCCAATACAAAACCACATCTCCTGTCTGCAGGAAGTGCCACAAACACCCTCAGGTTGCTTTCTGTTGAAATCAGTTGGATCAGCTCCCTTTCAAACAAGCATTTAAGGAACCAGCAGAAGGAAGAAGTGCCAGACCTTCTTGCTTCTCTTCAATACCAAGACACATGGAAGTTCTGTTCTAGTGAAAACAGATGTGTCCAGTTTTGTTTGAATTTGGTGACAGATTTATGTCAAAAACCTGAGGAAACTGCCACTAAATGATATTTGAAGTAAAGTTTTTAGTGCAGTGACAACCATCAGTTGTCCTCACCTACAATTTTACCAAGGTAACACAGTTTCCCATTGTATGAAAGCTCTGATTCAATGTAATTTTTCCTATCATCTAAGTACTCTATTTGGCATACCAGAAAATTTGTATTAAAAAAAATAAATCAGTGTAACATTTTACAGACTCCTTCGACTTACCAGACATCACTATTTTTAGTTAAGAATTGGACACTGAAGTTTGCTCGTGTCAAACAAGTTTAAGCCATGTTTGCTATGGGCTCCAGCTCAGGTGTTCCATAAATGAAAAAGGTGAAAGTCTTTACTGAGGTCAAGGCTAAAAGTTGCCTTGAGTTCAGTAAGGCTACGATTGAAAAAAAAAATAAAATTCTTATGTCATAGTTATTTATTGTTTCAAATGAATTCTTCCATATTTATCATCATAGTTCTTGGCTAGATTTTGGAAGGCCTCCAGATAGGTGGGTATAGATGGTTTCCTGCACCCCCAGCAGTGCCCCAGCTGGGACACTGGAGCAGCAGTGTCAGAGAATAGATGAGAAACATCTCTGACATACTGTGTGGGAAGTCACCCACTTCACAACAGCAAATGTCACTGCTTTAAGATCTCACCATATCTGGGACATTATTGCTTAAATGAAAGATCATTCATATGTGACATACTGCATCCAATGACATAAAACACAGACAAAATACACCAGGCCAGAAGCCCTGTCACTGTGTTGATTCACTCTCTAATTTACAGTTCATACCACATTATTGCAGTAGCTTTGAAGAGCATTCACAATAACAAAAGCACCCTGGTTAACCCATTAATTTATCAGGAAAACTTAAGGCAGCTTCCTGAAGCTTTTAATGGTGACTCTTCTTCATGTCCTAAGTAAAAACTGAGCAACTGCAAAAGGAACTGAGGAGGCCTCTGGTTTTAAGAATCCTATCAGCTGTAGCAGGTATTAGTAATGGCATCACATCCTAAACAAAACACCTCAAACATTGTAAATGTTTGGAGCAGGGATTCTGCAACTACAGTAGTTCACCAGTGCCACTGGAGCAATTTCTTAAAAAACATGAGGAGGAAGGAGGAAAGTGGCTGGCATGCTACATCGAGAGAATTCTTAATGTTTACACTGTGGTGTAACTATAAAATTAGTTCAGGAAAGAAAAAAAAGCTACTTTAAGATCAGAAAACTTATTTAAATGTGACAGTGAAATAGTGGAGGTCAGTTAAAGACGGATAACTGACAGTGATAATTTATAGTTCTCAATTCTATGGCTCACACAACTAGAACTTTGCTCTGGTATCAGCAACAACAATGAAACAAAAGACAGGAACTTACTCTTTTTGAATGGCTGGGTTCTTCAAATGGAGCAGGCAAGCATTTTGCTTAGTGAATTATATTACTTTTTAGTTTTATTTTTTGCATGACTTTTTAGATACTGCCTTTAATGAAATCAGAGACTGAAGCTGTTAAAATGAGTATTAAGGAATGATTCAAAATCCAGCTAAGAGAGATTTGAAATACCATATTTCAAAGGTCAAAACAATCCAGTTTCCTTAAACACATATTTATCTAACCTAAGATTTACACCTAGCACTTTGCAAATTGAGTTATACACCAGCCTCTCCATGAGCTGTATTTTAAGAAAACCCTATATAAACAATAGTGGTTTTTAACTATTACACATACACCAGTTTGTTTTAATGGATTTAAAAATAAGTTGAAGTTTTTTTTAAACTTGTCATCAGAAAAAGGTTCTTTTTCCTGTCAGCTATTGACTTTAGGGACTACAGTAGAAGGACTACACAATACTCCTCCATCATTCTTTTATGAATAGTATTACACAGGGTCTTGATCAATTGGAAAGAACAGAATCAAATCTTGTTAAGTGCTTGGCAAACACATCCCTCAATCGAAAATAATCAAATATACAATTGAAAATAGAAAATAATAATTGAAATAGAATATAATAATAGAAAATAGAAAATCTGTGACAGTCAAAACCTTTTTTTTATAATTGAGCTACCTGTTCATGAAGAACAAACTAACACAAACAGATTTCCTATTAAATTTATGGAATTATTTGCAATTTGGTTAGAGAAGATCTCAACTGTGCATGGTTTCAGAATGTTCTCAAAACACCAAGAATTTGTGCAGAAGCAAACAAACACATAAACTCAGAAGTTTCGAAAAACCACCACAGTGGAAATTGTTCTTTTTCACATTTATGCAGAAAAATCTCATGTCTCAGCACAGTGACATTTCTACAAACTGACCAGAGTGCTGTACCACACTCATGTAAAATTACACAAGAAACCCAGTAAACACTAAAGAGAAACACTGATACTTCCCAACTAAATTATGGATATACCTGTTGTAAAAATGTAATGTGAGATCAGGAGCAATATTACACAAAATCCTGAACATCACAGCGTAAACCTGAGATTTTGGCAGTTTTATCAAAATGTCCTAAATTACTCTGTATGAATCACTAGTCCTCATGTCTTATTCATTGTATTTGTTTGTCCCAAACAAAGAAAAGTAGACAGTTTTTTTTTTGTCCAACAATACATTAAACCAAAAGTAATTAGGTATTATCAAATTAAATATCATAAATAAAAAGTATTTACAGTATTTTCTAATTATTAGACAACAAATAACCAAGTAAATTGTGCAACAAACTTAAAACACCCAACATCAAAAATGTGAAGTATTACTTAAATCTTCACATACTGATTTTACAAAAAAACTATTAAAATATTAAAAAATTTCCATTTCATCTATTTTAAACAAGGAAATTTCAAAAATGTTTAAGACTATTAAGAATTATCAATTACACAGGCACTTCACATGTAAACAATCTACAGTACAACTGAAAAAAAAAAAAATATTTGGCACCAACCTAGAAGACTGGAAAAACTCAATAAAACGTGTCCTTTTCCCATTGTATACTGCTTTGTGTAATCACCAGACACTCAGACTCAATACTGGCAATGTTAGAAGTGCGTAAGTTACAATCAGGAGTGCAAAAAAATAAAGAACGCAAATATTAAGCTTTCAGAGAGTGAAAGGGGATTACAAGTGATCAGTTGCTCATTTTTACCATCACACCATCGCTACATTGTTGTCTTACCTTTAAATCAAATGATTGACTCGAGAGATTAAAGTGACGGGGGGTGTGCTTTGTACTTCTCAAATAATTCAAACATTTGCGATGTAAAAACAGGAATCCAGCATTTAACTGTAACACTCAGATGTCAAATGGCAGCTTTTAACTTAACTAGAAAGAGAACCTGATGCTACCACAACCTCTTTGTACATCCAATTATGAAAGAAAAAAAAAGATTAATTATGGTCTTTCAACTGTGAACTGACTCCAAGGTTTTCACATACAGCTCCAGAGTAAGGCTCTCTACAGCATCTGGACAGATATTAGTTTTTGATGGCTTGGGTGTTCCCACATAGGAGGCTGAACTGCCTCAGAGCAATCCATAGCAACAGAGCAAATGGGAAGTTGTCGAGCTTCCAAGAAGTCACGTCACACAGAGGAGAGCTGAGATACTTTCAATGCCGGCAATTCAAGCAGAGCTTGAACTGTGAGGCCAACCTTCACCAGACCCCTTTCCTCCAGAATGTGATGAGGCAGGCAAAGTCTCTCCTGCAAAATAACACAGTACATTTAACGAGTCACATCCATTTTTGCCCAAGGCTGTAACAAACACATTCTCTCTCAAGTCACACATCGCTTAAGAGGAAGCATCTTTGGCCTTAAATTCCGTATGTGGCTCTCTACAGTAACAGAATGGGCAGAAACTTGTTACAGTTAAGATCTGTGTAAACTATGAAAACCTCAGAAGATACACAAAAGACTGTTAGATTCAAAAAGTCAAAGACTGTTTCTTTTCATAGGCAGCTCAATAAAAACAAGCTGATGGGTGCTGTTGGTTCAGTGGCCTTCTTCCCCCTTCCCTTGTTTTGTAGACTTAATACAATTTTTTCCCTTGGGAAAACCTGGAAGTGCTGATAGAGTCAATAATGATCCATTCTCCAAGAAAGTCATCTTTCAGTTTCAAAATTCAGCATAAGCTGGATAATTTTCCCAACTGCCAGTTGGTGTTACAAGTAATTTGGGAGGTAAATTTCCATCTCTAACTCGAATGGCCCATGACTCCATACTAGACAGAAGCTGTGGCAGAGCAGTAGCCCAGGCTTCTAAATCCATTCTTGTTGCACTAAGAAGGAATCAAAGGAGTTTTTTGTCTCATGACATGCAGGAAATGGTTGAATCTTTAATTTTTTTCCCCTCATACAAGGAGGTAAGAGGATGAACTGGGGCAACATAAGCACAAGTAATGGACTGCAACTATGGCTGTGCTAAAAAAGACAGCTGATCAGATAGGCTACAGACTTCTGTAAGTGCAGGATATTTCCTGAAATTCGTGCAAAGTGAGTTGCTAAAATCAAGACTTTCAAATATTAAAACATCACCCTCTCAAACCAGTTCTTTTGTTTAGGTAACAATTTATTTCACAAGGAGATCAGTGTTATTTTTACAGTGAGGAACTGACAGAAACCCAGTTCAAGCTCAAGCTTCCTCAAGCTCATGCCATGGGTCAGAAGTGGAATTTCTGTTCATAGCTTCAAGTTCCCAGCTCAGTGCTATAACCACTACTGCTCCCTGAATAAAGCCCCCCAAAGCCCCCAACTTGAGCATTTGCTGACATTTCCTGTGGTTGTTAATAAGTCAATAAAGCAATCAGTGTACCTGTGGAACGCCCAGTTTTTTACAAGCATCGAGAAAGTTTTCAACATTTCTTCGGCACTTTGCCATACTGAGTTTAGGCTGTAAAGACAGGATGTTAGATTCTCATCAGACATTTGTGAAGGACTGTATATTTCTCATGTAAATTCACTTGCAGTTGCTAAAACACATTCTGTGAAGACTCAGGATGTAAAAATAGCTCCGAAACTAAACATCTGAGCCTTGTTTAACGCTCATTCCAGCAAAACTGAAGAGGGGAGTTTAGCAAATTAATACGGTAATCATGATTCATGATGTTTTAGTATTGAAATTCAAAAGGCTTGTTTTCATGCAAGATGTAAGAGAAGGGAGATAAATGACCTACCACTGCTGGCGATGGGACGTGAATGCTGGCAACAGATCGTGGCCTTATGTGATTGGCTAAATGGCAAAGAACCACCCCATCCATCAACGCTGCTCCAATGTCATCTGGCAAAATCACCTTCAACCTTGACTCAAGGTTCTAGAAAAAAAGGCCATAAGGAAGTTACTTTCAGCGTTAGCTAATTTTTAATTTGAACTCCAGGGTATTTTAAAGCGTTTAGAAGTTTAAAAGGAACGTTTTAATATGAAAGTAAATGGAGTCAATTTACACTTTACTGAGTATAAATATACTTTTCTCCTTATTAGCTTTTATTCTGCTGGGTTTTTCTCATTTTGCTTTTTTTTTTAAATGACACAACAACATATATTGAGAAAGACATTCTACAAACAATGACCAGGATACACAGCTCTCAAACCCATAAAATGAACTCACTGTTTGTAACAGGAAAGCACAGAACTTCAAGGACAAAAATGTTATGTTGAATATGTCATCAGTGTGCAGAATCTGTGCACTGAAATCATACAGGATTTTATTAGGAGGAGGAAAAAAAAGGAGGGGAACACAACTTTGGGAATGGTTATTTCCCTTGTACAGATGACAGTTAAATAGTGCAGTTTCCACTCTTGTGTTGCAAAATGGAGAAGGCAAACAACGACCTTCCCCACCCCAGCAAGACTTCACTTCTCAGGAAGTGAACCAGACAAACAGAAACATTCTTCACAGGAGTCACACTGCAAATAAGTGCTGAACTGCTATGATTCAGTTAACTATAACTGTTAAATATCTTGAGAACAGAACTACACGGAAAACTACTTATTGGAAATCTGAGATGTAGATCCCATTCAGTGTTGTGCAACTTGTAGCAACTTTCTACACTCAAAAAGCATTTGGCTATTCAGAAAGCCATCATCATTTTTCTTCAAGTCTCAGGTCAAGCAGCAGCAAACACAAGCAGACTTACTGTCTCCCTAAAAAAAGCTAAAACCTCAGAGAGCCAAGAAAATAAATCACTTTTTGTTTCGCTTCATTTCTTAGTTAAAATAAATAAATAAATAAACAAACAAACAAATAAATAAATAAATTTAGTTCCAGGTTGGCATTTTGGTTGGACCCAAATTAGTACCCATGTAGGCTGTTACATGAAACTCCTTAGAAAGAAATGCCAGTGTGGTAGAGAGCAAACTAAATGCACTGCACCCATCCAGGAAAACATGGTACATACATTGCGAAGCTGCCTGATTTGTTCCCTTTCTTCCCTCAAATGTTCCATTTTCCTCCTCATTGTAAATCCAGGATCCACGGCACCGTAGTCCTGGCGTGAGGCACGGCTGAAAGCTGAGGGACATTATTAGGGAAGTTAGTTACCAGAATTCAGATTCAAAACACTCCATTATTACAAATCTATAACTGAGGATAAAAACTGCAGAACTTTTAAGAATGTTTTTAAGCATCCTGATAGGAAAGATAATATGAAATGTCTAATAAAATGCAAAGATCATCTTAGGTGTAAATGGATAATTAGAAAATATGGAGACAATTAATTTCAATATTGAAGTATGAATTTGAGATACACAACTCCATCTGCACTTCTTCAATCTAGTTTTGATAGTATTTTTACTGTGTTTTACTTTTAATGAAGTATAAAGTCATTAATGAGTTTAAAAACAGAACAGAACTCCCTGATATAATTTAAAATTAAAGACTTAAAATATATACACACACACATATGTGCATGTGTTAGGTGTGCATATGCAGAAACAGTGATCACTTGTTAAAGAACTAATTGAGTTTTTTCTTTAAAAAGAAGGTCTGTTAAATAATGACATTCACTTTACTACTCTTCGTGGTCAGAAAGCCTTCAAATGACTATTATTTTATAGGGTCCTGACAAATACAAACTCTTCTGTTGCAATACTTCTGTATCCTTAAGTAGTTTATGCCATGCTTTTGAGAAAAAAAAAATTCAAAACTTACACCTTGAGAACATTCTATGTTGTTTTTAATAGTCTGGATTTTAGCAAGAGATCTAACAATCAAAAATACAAACTGTACAACTGTAACTGGGGGTGGGGGGATGTGGAGTATTTCTACCTAGATTTCAGAGGACTGAAAGCCTGCTTTAGAAAATACAATTTGCTTATGAGGGTATGGCTGAATCTTGGAAGACTCAGGGTACAACAAAGCCCATCAAAGTACTGCCAGAGCTCTGCTCAAGGCACCCTTTCACAGGAGAAATTATAAAAATTCTACTTTTGAAACCTGCTTCAGCCACCAGATCTCGAGAACAATTGTATGCCGCTTCCCTGTTTTTGACAGGAGTAAATATGCAGAAAATAAAGCAGTGGGAGAAAAAAAAAATAAAAAAGAGATTAAAAAAATCATTGTGCAACTTGAGGATCTTCCCATTATTCATCTGCCAAAGCAGCTGTCCACGCCTTTCCCAGTACTATGCAGTGATGAGCACACTGAGGGAATTCCTGTACTGTGACATCTCCCATCCTTACTGTCCACTGCAGCCTGGGAAATAAACTTCTGTTCTACCACACTGTGTTGGAGAACAACAGCTTACCTGACCTTGGTTTGAGACCAAATGGACCATGAGTGTTACTATCTGTCCTTTCATAATCCTGTTAAAAGAGATAAAGTCAATTTTCATTCAATCATTAAAAGAATTAACTTTTGTTCCCATGAAGATAGTGTTTAAATTATTCTTGCCTAAGGAGAGTCCTTCTGCTTAACTGTAGTACAGTCTTTTGGAAGGGACAGTATAAAATAAACAGAATGAAAGTAACCACTCTACATGCAGATAAAATTCTCATTATGAGGAAGAAAAGCAGCACCAACTACCTAAAACTACTGCAAATTATTTCAAATTACTGCAAACCATTCTGTGAACAGAGTTCTAAGCCAGCTGTAAGCAGATGCAAATATTCCCCCAATGCTTAGCACCAAAACATTTCTCAAGAAATATCTACTTCCAACTATGAAGATCAGGTTTTTCTCATTTCACCATCTAAAGAGAGAGATCCACTCAACATTTTGGTATGTACATGAGATATCCTTATTTCAACTCATTTCACTGTATTTGGAGATGTTCTAATTCTGCTCCCTCAGGCTCCTTATGGACATAAGGTGGAAATGTTAACAATATTTGCTTTATTTTGAGCTCAGCACTGCAGTGCTGTCCCAGTGAGACTCCTTGGACAGCAACCCACAATTGTAAAGGATGGGACTCCTTGAGAGGTGTCAGTGCCTTTGGGTTCCCAGTGATACATAAAATATTAAATCACAGGTTTTACTTTAAATCCTCTCAATGACTAGTGCATAGGGAACACCTAAAAACCATGGCAAACTTGATTTTTGTTTCATTAGCTACTTTCATTAGCAAAGATAATGGAGACAAAGCAAAGCACCTTTCCTCACACCAAAAAGAAGAGCCCTAGGAGAGATCAGAGAGTTGCAAAGATAAAACAAGTTGCAATATCTGTCTCTGGTTGATCTGGTTTTGAATTTTTATTATGATGAAATACTTCTAATTGTAGTTTCAAAGGGAACAGCTTTATATCTGCATGAAAAACCTGGTGACAGCAATGCACATAAAGAAATGTCTGTTGAATGAAAAACAAAACCACAAACTTGTACCTCAGACGACACAGGAGACTGTGGGGACACATTAGTATTATCACTGTCTTGCTAAAAAGAAATCAAAGAGATGAAATTATAAAAACGAAAACGATGATTTAACAAGAAACATGAAATTATGAAATACATGAGACATGTAACATTTGCCAAGTATGCTACAAACTGGCAGCAACTAAATTTTAAAACATGTAAGCCAAGGAAATACTGTTTACATCAAATATTTTACATTACCTCTGCTTGATAGGTGAACTAACTTTGCTATTACCAAAGCAGGCTAATGTCCTACTGTTTCCCAGTAGACAACCTCGAGGGTTTTTTTCAAATAAAGGAGTATAATACTTATTTTTGCCATGGCTTTGGAATGCAAAGTTAATTGGTTCAAAAAAGACAAGTGAAGAAATCTTTTCTTAATACTTCACACAATTACTACATCTCACCTCATCATTTTCATTTCCACTTGAACTCTTTCTGGAAGACTTATACTGCAAAACACACACAATTTATTACTTCAAAATGGAAGTATGGCTTTCATTTGAACTAAATTGGTATTGCTCAGATGTTACTTATTACTCATGAAGCTGCTGAGAAAAAAAAGCCATGTTACAGAATCAGAGGAGCAACAAAGAAACCAACCAGAAAAGGAACATGAAGTTCCTAGGCTAGACAAGATCTTCATTCTGTTGAAGAGACAAGAGCATTTGAAAAGTAAATACCTTTATAGTGTGAACTCTGCATATGACAGTTGAGCCAAGTGAAAAGGTCTTAACAATTGCTAATGTTGTTAAGAAGCATTAATTCTTAGAAAAAATTATGCAAGCTATGAAACTTACTTTCATAATATGTTTTGTTAAAAGAGGCTTCAAAGACTGCTTATACTTTGAGATTGAGTTGACATGGCAAAAAATTAAATAAAAAAAATTATCTTTACAACTTCAAAACTGGTCACATCATTTTATCTATTCAAGACAATACTTTTCCCACAGGTCTGTCTGATTTGTTGTGCACAGCCTTCATCACCATCCCACTTCCCTACTTTATGCTAAAAATGTAGGAAATGAAAGAGGGATTGAAGGAAGACATTTACAAAAGCAGAATTTAAGAAAATAAGTGTATTTCATTGTCTGCAGAGCAAGTGTACAAAAAAAGAGGGAAAAACTCATGCAGATAGAATTAAAAAGATCATCAGAAAAAACCTCTGTGTTGAGAGTATATGGCCAGCCTACCCCTCCTCATGGTTTAACATGTAGCAAGGATCCAAAACAACTACAAACCAGCCCATAAAAAAAAAAAAGGTATTTTGGTTAATAAAGTATGTCTTCAATCACAGGATTCTTTTTACATATTTAATTAAACAAAGATTTCAGGTTACTTCAGTGCAATGCCACAAAAAAAGGATTTCTGATTCTCAGGGGCGTTTTTCATGCCTTTCTGCTGCACAGTAAAAATACAGAATATGCATAATAAAGATGCTCTATAAATACATCTAGATGCTGATCCAACTCAGTTTTCCTTGCTCTAGTGACACCCACTGCAGTAATTTGGCATGTATTCTTAAGATATTAGTGTTTGGCACTACAGATATGATTATTCAATCAACTTTTTTGCCATGAAAACATGGACACAATATGAACTGTGTTGTAACTGGTTTCTCAGAACAGCAGTGGTTCTTATTTTTTTCCCAGTTTGCCATGGAAGACAGACTCTGTTTCACTTGCTTATTGCCTTGTTTTTGCAAATGAAACTATGAGTGATACAGTATATTTTGTTACTGGTACAGCCTGTTTAATTCACTTTTGAGACATGTCTATAGCTGTATGTAATGTGATTTCAGGCATCTGCTTCCTTCACAGAGCTCAAAACTGACTGGCATTTAAAGACATTCTTGTAAGTTAAGAGGAAGCACTTCTGTATTGGTAGCACAGCTGTTGAACAAGTCCAATGACTGAATTCTGTTTTACTTAGAAATTTCTCTGCCTCTCCTTAAAGGCTGTAGTGCAAAATTAATTTCAGGATGAAAACCCTGGAAAGAGGATACAGCTCCATAAACTCTTTAGGAAAAAAAAAAAGAAAAAAGCTTCTGTAATCACAACAATGTATCTAAGCTGTATGGCTCGCTCTGTTCTCCCAAGAATTTAATTTCTTTGAAGTTCCCTGGCATTTCACAAAGACATTTGATGGCAAAGACCCAAGAAACTAATTTCATAAGTGGCAAATTTAATTTTAACTCAACCTAGCACTGCTCAGAAATCTCCTATTTCTCTACATACCCCAAAATAAATGTTACCCAACACTGCTCCAACTTCCCCTCTGTGCTGCAGTGAGCAGACACTGGCACCTGGTGACCGAGGGTGGAAACTACAGCAGCAAAGGAGTACAGAGAATATTCCCCTTCTGAAATTCAAACTAATACCATGAGAACCAGAAGACATAAATCATTCTTATAACCACGTTGCAAAAAAAAAAAAAAAAAAAAAGGCATTGTGTATTTTCCTTGCACTAAAAATAGATAAATGGATAAATAAATAGATAGATAAATAGAAATTCCTCCAAATAGGCAGTGAAGGACCAATGACAAGATTAGTTTCTGGTTTTATCAGAAGACAGCTGTGAATTAGTTCCTTTTATTTAAAGGATAAACAAATTCTTTGGTCAATTTGTTCTCCCTCTTGATTTTCCTGCATTCTCAATACATACATAAACATACTAAATCAAAAGAGTAAAATAAAAAAATTCATGTTACAGGCAAATTTAAAAGCATCATAACCATGGAGGATTTTTCTTTACTTAGATATCTTTACTAGTTTCTTCTACTCTTATAAAAAAATGTGGCACCCACCCTCACTCCCCCCCATTACCTTGAAATATTCTTTTCTAATTTGTTTACTTCTCCTTCTTTCTTCATTCTGCCAGATCACTGGCTGTGTTTCTGGCCAATGCTGCTCATTCACTGAATCCTTCTGGTTTTCCAGTGGCTATAATGGTCAGAAATATTTTTATGTAAAAGGTAAATATACCTCTTGTGCATTAGCACAAATGATTATGAACTACAACTATTAATTATTTGCCTCTCTCAATCCAAATTCATGACCTGAACAGGTGCCCAGGCTTCATGGTGACTCTGGCAGAAATTTCCTTTCAAATTCCAAAATATACTTCATGGAAAAAAAAGACTCTGAAATAATTCCTCAGAAAATGACACACTTTTCTGCATTGAGACTCATTTTTGCAGGCAGGTTAGGAAGGCACCTAAGGCTGCCAAAAATAAACAAGTTTTCAGTGTGGTTAGCCACTAGCACACCTAACTTCTCCATGTGAATGCTCATTGCACTGAAAAAGGACAGTTACAAGACAATTTGAGTATCTGTCAGCTGTTCCTGCCTAAAACATTATACACCTCAACAAGCTGTAAAAAATCTCTCTTTCAAAGTACTGTGTTATGCAAATATACAGAGGAGACAGCTAAAGTAGATGAATTATTAAAATAATAATGAATATATATGACTGTCTACTTTATGAAAACTGAAAGCAGACACTCTGAGCAGACAGTTTCATAAGGCTAAAACAACATTTTCAACTGTCTCTTATTGGAATATGAAGGCATTTAAAGCCATTGTAAATAACTGATAGATTAAAACCTAAGATAATAAAAAAGTACTCTCTACAGCTTAACTGGAATTTTATCATATAATGCAAGCTTCTCACTGAGGTATGGAGAATAAAAGGCCTACATAATTCAATCCATTTAGAATTTACATTATAAACCAAACTGAACATTATGGTGAGGCAATACATGCATGTGGGAAGAAATACTAAAACCAAGCAAAACTTATGTCTCATTAGTTTCAAGATCTTAAAGCTGGTACCATATTCTATTAAAACAAAAGGCCTCCATTACATACAAGTCAAATTATCTCGAGGCATAAGCTCTTCAAAGGTATTATATTTTCCACCATAATTAGATACCTTCAATAACTATATGCATAAGCAAGGATACAAATGTATGTAAGTTTTCTGTCATAAAGACAAAACCAAGCAAATAACAACAACAAAACCAAAAAAGCACTCAAATATAAAGCCAGCACATTTCCATTTGAGTATTTACCTGCCAGTTGTATGGGGACACTGGGGAATTCACTTCATTTGCTGAGACACTAAAAAGTAAGATGAGAGGCATTATGAAATGTACTACTTTTTAAAACCACGTAACTTTAAAATATAAAAGAAAAAGTGAACACTTAAAAAGTAGCTTCGAAATGTGGCTTAAAAGCATGACCACTTGCCTAGAATCTCAAATCATATCTCACTCTCCTTTACCATGAGTTGACAATAGGCCTTACACATTACAGCACTTTAATTCACATTAAGCTGCTTCTTAAGGATGTTGATCTTTTGAATGGGGTCCTCATTAGGAGGATGCCAGTAAGCTCTCCCTCTTTAGTATGAAAATTGATTATTTCTTGACCAAACTGTTTAAAAAACTCATCTAGGATTCCTTAGGGAGGGAAATGGGAAGTTGTGATTTCCCAATTTCCTAAAGAAGGCTTTGAGTATTTTCAGTTGTTGATGGTTTGTGGGATTTTTTTGTTTTCTGTGGAGGTTTTTCTGTGTTTGGGTTTTTTTTTTTAATTTCAAAGCAAAAGCATAAAAGCACAGTTCCTGCAGACAATGGATTCCTCACTGACACATGCTCCACAAACAATAAAGGTTTTGTAGGCTGCACTCCCAATAACACTTCTCCAACTGCTCTTAAAAGCCCAAAAGAACTGCCAAGGAGGAAAATTTAAATGTCTGAGCACAGCTCCAGTGCCACCTTGTGTAACACAGGATCTGACACATCTGCACAGCACTGTCACCTGCAGGAGGAGATACAACCTTCTGGACTGGGACTGGATGTCTAAACTGGAAATGAAGGTCTATCCTTAGGCACCTGAATCACTGCCATAATCAGCAGCATCATCAGACCTATGGATTAGTTTCTGGATGACACCAACTTTTCTAAAGGCTCAAAAGAACAGGTTTGGGCTTTTTGTTATCTAAGAGAAAGAAGCTCAAGAATAGATCATTCTTGTACCTTCAATCTCACTGTGAGCTAAAAGCGTTATGACAGAAGATGGCAGCAGTGACACAATTAACAAAAATGAAATTAATAAAATATTGAAAGCTATGATACACTTAAGAATATCAATACCATTTTTCAGAGTCCATTGGCTGCTTTGGCCTGTTCCTTGTGTTTACTGAAACTGAGTGATTAAGAAGCCTAGAAAGAAAAAAAAAATATTTAAACCCTTTTTCTTAGAATATGTTACTTTCACTGCATAACATTTCCTGTAAATGAAAAGTTTTCAGCATTAATATCTTCCATAAAACTAAGATATGTGTACACATATGAAATTCATGCCCATTCTTGCTTCCATTTGAATCAACAGTATTCTTTCTAGCTCTTGAACTATTTCAAGTTCTATATTTTAAGGAAGCAAAACTTGATAATTCAAACCAAAATGAAGTTTCCTCTTATTTGTCTCCATAAATACAGATTATTTTGACAGATCTCACACCTGTGTAAAGTTATGCTGCCCTCAACACAAAAAGCCCCATTGCTCACTAAAATTAAAAGGCAAAAGATAATCAATCTAAACCAGAAAGGATACACAGATTGAGCACAAAAAAAGTCAGTCAGTAGGAGCAGGTCAGAAGGTATCTTAGCAAGAAACACTGAAAGTGCAAAGGAAATGCAGGGAAAAAGGAGAGCTGGGAAATGCAGAAACACAGACTAAAACCAAAAGAAAAGTCTAACACAGAAGTGAACCAATGGAAATTTCATTTTTCTAAATGGCAGTGAGTAAAAAAAGCCTAAATTTAGATTCAGAAGCGTTTTTTCATCTGAAACAAATACATACCACAGGTCTGTGTGCACAGGAAGATGATATGAGCTATTGTGGATGTTTTAAGTGTTAAAAATAACAAAACCATCGGTAACACTTAAAACTAAACATTGAAAAGTAACTTGAATGAAAACTTCTGAGTTCTTGAAGGTAGTGATAGGACACTTCAACACTGACTTCATGTGCAGAACTGTGATCAAAGTATATTTAGGCCAAATTATAGAGAGAACTAGAATGGAATAAGAATCAGAAAGAATCAGAACACAACCAATTATGTAACAGAACAAAGTAAAACAGTAAAACACGTTTTCATATTTCATTACCATTACATAGGGCAGTACAGTCATTAACTGTAAATGACTGATGATTTTGCAATCAAACTTCTCTGATTATTTGATAACTTTGAGCTCAGCAATCTCATTTGCAGTTTAAAGTTTAAATCTCTCACTGTGTGACCCTCAATGTAATGGGATTATGAGAAGTTAAGCCTGTAAACCAAGTCTGCTGTATTCAGTCTGCAGCATCTGCTCCATATACTTGCTCTTCAGAAACTTAGTTTTGAGGGTGCATTCCAGAATTAAATTATATTATAGCCTGAAAAAACTGTTACAAAAAATAATATTCAGAGCATTGGTTATCAAACCAGCATATAAACATGCTATTTTAAAGTCATCATTTTTTAGAGAGAATCCCTATTTAAACTAGCTTTATGTTCTCAGAGATGTTGTAGCAAGAGACCATTAAAATTAAAAAAGAAAAACAATTGACTCTGATGCAAAACTTGCACCAAAACTGACACTATAGTGTAAATGCAATGATTGTATGTAACACAGGCCATTCCTTTTTTAAACTCATTATGTGAAATGTAAGGAAAAACTATTCTAGCAAATTCAAATATATATATATAAACACACTTTTCATTTATATTTATATATAAACACACTGTTTCTATGCAGCATGTATATAATTAATGACTGAGTTTATTATGAACTAGGCTTATTATGAACGTGTTGATGGAGTATGCCAGGTGGTGATTACCATTTTTAAGATATAGCTTTAGTAATGGGAGAACTGCTTTGCAGTGCTTAGCAAAAGCTGACTTTGAACACTTGTTGTCTGTATAAAGAATTACAGTTCTTGGTCTCTCACTCCTGACATTCCACAACTGTTGCCTGGTGAGGGGCAAGGTAACTTCTAAAATATTTCCCTTTAACAGTATTTCATCCTAAAGAACAAAAAACGTATTGCAAACTACTTTTGCTAACAAACCCTTAGGCTAACTCAACCAATCCTTTGGCTCTGTTTTTCTTCCAGAAATGGCCAAAGCTGTTCCTTCTGTCCCCATTTGAACCCTGGCAACCTGAGGCTCTACAAACCCTTTATACCTGGATGCACGTCCTGCCGCCCTTGTCCTCTGGAAGAGTTTCTCACTGAATGAAGTTCTATAGCTTAAAGGCCTTCGTCTGTATTCACATTTCATGGACACCAAAGCCAAAGACGGAAGGAGGAAGCAGGATAGGTTGATGGGAGAGGACAGGGAAGTCATTAGCATAGCAAGCAAAAAGAAAAGAGACTGCATAATATTACAAAAGCACACACTGAACGAACAGAAACATGGTTAGTAAGGAATTATTTTGTGATGCTTAACTTTTCTGAGGGTTCTGTTTACTGGTTGAATATATTTTCCACAAATAAACACAGGATCTTCACTAATTGCTAAATATTATTCTTCTTGCTGTTTAAAAAACATGGATTCAAAAGCAGGGCTAAATTTTATATAGGGGTGATTCCGTCCCCGTGTACCTAACGACACTTAAGCAAATTTTAAAATATAAATACTAAATTAAGAAGTAAAACAAGAACAAATAAGACTGCATACATCTGCATGATTCAAGACAAAGAACCATTAGCAACATCATTGCATTAAGACACAACAACATATGAGGAGTAAAATTTAAGTTGCAGTGCTTCAGAAGAGGAGTGGCTTGGAATTTCAAATGATTAGTTAACCAGGAAATATTTAATCAAACAAGACCCACATGCAACATAAATAACCATCACATAAAAACCTAAGATAAGAAAAACATGCTCATTCTCTCTTTAGTAATAAATTATTAGGAGAAAATTTAGCATTCTTGGTCTTACTTGCAATACTTTTGGTAATAAGAATATATTAAGATTTCATTCCTGTTTTACCCTTCTTTATGTGCACAACCAAATTCTGAATGCAGAGCATGGAGTTTTAAGTAAAGCCTATTATATATTTCATACACACACTACTGTTACTATATTTACCTAATATAAAATGCTGGTGAATTTTTAAAGCCCTGCAATTCATAGTATCAGGATCTCTGTTTCCCTGAGGGTTTCACATGTATTTCAACTCTCTTCAAAGAAAAGTGGCAGTGCAGAGTCTCATAATTACACAGAAATCCCAAAGAAACAAAAATAGTATTTAAGGTAGTGTGAAGTTATATCCATTAGTGTGGGATACAACTTTTAGCTCCCTTAAAAGAGTTTACTCTCAAAGTGCCTCACAGTATTTGCCTGCTTGGTAAAGGAACCAGACAGAACATTGTTCCTACCCTCACCTGTCCACATCCTATGTAGCTCCAGGTATTCCTTCCTGTTCTACATTTTACACAGTTGTTAACTTGTTCTACTACATTCCTTTAATCTGCTGCTTGTTCTGCAGCTCTTTTTCAAGCATCATTCTGTTGAGATGCTCAACATGAAGCAGAGAAAGGCAGGCAGTTGAAATGATTTATTTTTACATGTATTTATAACACAGACATACTGTCATTTGACAGAACAATGTTCAAACAAGTTTCCCCTTCAGTTCACAGGATATTTATAACTCACATCAGACCGAATGGAGGAAGTGCCACCTAAACTAGTTTGTATTTGAATAAAAAGAACCAGTCACAAGCAAACTGTATGCAGGTTCTGTAATTCATACAATCTAAGAAAGTAATTTTAACATGTTACCAATGATCATGTTATCTGAGCATTAACCAGCCCACTTAAGTCTACTGCTTTGAAGAAAAAAAGTATAAAAAAAGTTAACATACATCAAATCAGGAAATCAAGACACTTTCACATTCATCTCTTCCTCTCCATAGGAGGTTTATCATTGCTTCTTTAGACAGTGATTTTATGAAAAGTAACATAGGACACCCATTTGATAGAGTTAGATAAACTTTAACTGTTTAAACAGCTGGACAAAACTGTTCTTAAGATAAGGTGTCAAGAGCTGCTGAGTAAAGAGAGGTTACAGAATAAATTGACACAAGTTATTTTAACTAATATTGTAATACCTGTGTTTTTGTTCTTGCTGCAGTAACTGGGCTGCTATTTTTCTCAGGTCAGTCACTTCTTTGAGTTCATCATCATCTTCAGCCAGCAGCTGTTCTTTCTGAAGCCTGAAAAATTAAACATTAGTGACCTGACTTCAGTGAAGCAAGACACAGAAATGTCTCGTTGTTGGACAAGTAAGCAGCACTGCCTTTAAGCTTATTTTCTGTCCAAGTACTTGGTGTTCAATATGAGATTTCTTTCTTCCATAGGAAGAAACTTAAAAGAAAGCCACTCTCACCTCTGCCACCACCAGCAAAACCTACCCAAGAAGATCAAGATTTACCTTTTTTCATCTCCCCAGTCCTCATTCTGTTCTATTTTCTGGGATTTCTCAGGATGTTTTCCCCGTTCCTTACACAGAATGAAAAAAAAAAAATCCTCAGAATTGAATTAAGAAAAAATAAACCCAAGCTTGCTGAACAGTTTTTCTTTTGTCAATCTATGGTACCTTGACATAGGAGAGCAATGTGCCAATCTGTGCATCTCCCTGCTCAGGAAGAGTTCCCTCTTCTGCATTTGGATCAATGTAGTCATAGGCCTCCTGGTCTAGTGAGGATTTGTGAAGAACAGAAAAGATATTAAACAGTTCTCTCGACCAAATGTTACTCCTAAGAGAGTTAAGCACTTATGAAAAATGTCAGATACAGATAAAACATAGAAATTGTGTCTCCTTAAGCTAGAAATAATCTTTTCTTTCTCTCTAGCCTTGTCTATTTGTGATTATTACATTGTTTTCTGAAATTATGAAAATACAATGCCAACCCATGATCAGATAATTTTGTGCCATTTTCCTACATTATATTACCCAAGCAAAGTACCTCTGTTACCTAAAATGACAGATGCACAACAGGTATTACCTTTCTGTGGATCGAGTTTGCTTCCCATGACATGATTGTCATTCCTTAATGTCTGTTCCCTTGTTGATTCTGATACCTGGGAGTGAAGGCTGATTGTATCATCATCAGATGGCTGCAAAGACACTCACTTTTAGTACAGAACTGACATATAAATTATATTATTATATGGTTTAAACTCAACTGTACAGACATTCAAAGAATGTTAAATGCAACTTAGGAATTTCTCAACTGATACAAAATACAAAGGAAAGGTCTGAAAACCAGAAATTACAAACCCAGCTGAACAATACTCACTTCTGTGGTGGACAACCTTTTATCTCCATTATCACTTCCAATGCCAGAGTCTGGTCCATGATTTTTATTGGGATAAAAGTCCTCCATGCTACAGTAAGAAAAATAACACACAAAAACCCCACACAAGAATGAAAGAAACAGTAGTGTCCCTTTCCTAAAAGAAAACAAACATCCTTTTCAAAATATGCTCTCTATACTCAGCTACAGTTGTTGATACAGAATTTTTGCACAAGGGATAGTCAGTACAAAAATCCAACAAAACATCCCTCATTTTCTGACCTCAACTAAATTTAATAAAAAATATTTGTGAAATACTGTGGGTTTTAGTTAAGTTTCTCTTAATATATATATGGGAGACAGACTTTCCATCCAACAGACTAATTATATTCAGGACATTTATGGGCAATTCTCCTCTTCTGTTCTGAATAAAACACCTGAGATTTCCAATAAATAAATTTAAAAACTTTGGTCTATTAAACATCTTTGTTTTGATTTCTACATCTTTAGCGAGTACAATGAAAACTTTTCATAGCAATTCAGATGAGCCAATTAAGTTTCCAGTTACAGAAAATAAATACTATGGCACCCAAATAAAGAACAATTAAAGTACTGAAATTATAGGTATTATCTGTAATGAACAGATCATTTAATAACAAATGCCAAAGTAAAATAAAACAACCCCCCCACTACTCACCTGTCTGTGAGTGGCTGGGAGGGGACTCGTTTACCTAATGATGGAAGATCCAAAGAATCTGGTTTTTTGTCTATTCTGAGGCACGCCTGGATGCTGAGGAATTTAAATATATGTACTTTACCCTTTAAACATATCTGTTGGGAAACAAATGAACAAATAAAAATCTTAATTACATTGCATGTCTTTGGAAAATACACCCCAAGAAACACTTTCTACACTGCATTTGTACCCACAACTTCCCAGTAGGAGCCGAAAAACAGGAAAACTTGATTGGTATAACCTAGAACAGCTTCCCCTAAGATGATAAAGCAAATTTCTGTACTAGAATACTTCAATACTAACCTGTGCTGGTGGTATCTGCATTGGATTGTTATCCAAAAGTATAACTTGTAAGTGACGTAACTTTCTGTAACAAATTGGAATTTCTGTAATTTTATTACACGAAAAATCCAGCTTTACCAAGGGAAGGTCCCCTAGTTCTGCACTCAGGAAAACAAACAAACAAACAAAAAAAAGGCATTAGTTATCTTAATACTTCACCTAATTTACCTACATCAATGGAAAGAAGATGAGTAGCTTACCATCTGGCAGCATATGGAGATTGTTTCTTCTTATGTTCAATTCTCTAAGTGACTGCAATTTTCCTATTTGCTGGGGAAGGACCTGAAGTTCATTACAGCTAATATCCTAAGAAAGACATAATTAATACATCAAGTGAACATCTTAAATGAAATTTCACAAAGGAATACTGCTATCAAAACTATGGTAAAAGAAAAATCCCAACTCCTTGGTTTTTCCAATTTTATTTATGAAATCATCTCAAAAGCAATTTTATTTATGAGCCCCTCCCTTAAGCTTTAGTTGACTCAACATATTGATTTCTGTTTAACCTTATTTTTGAGATACAATATATTTTACCTTTAATTTCATCTCAAAACCCAATAAAACACAGTAACTGAATTTCAATTTTGTAGTTCCGTATTTTAAAAATATTAATCTATAATTATACTGAAAATACACTGCTTATAAGTTTACTTTAAGTATAAAGATTCACAAATGTACTTACCAACTCCATCAGATCTCTCAGCTTCCCAATTTCCTCTGGAATGGAGACCAGCTTGTTATTACTGACAACCAGAACTTTCAGTGGAAGATCAAACAGGTATTTTGGCAACGTCGACAAAAGATTTCGACTTGAGAGAAAGAAAAAGGGACAAGCAAGGCTGGATTATAATCTCCTTTTTCTAAGCCTTAAAGGGAGTCTGAGATGCACATTGCACAACTTTTCTCCTATGACAGAAGACATTCTCCACCTATTATGACTTCATTTACATTTCAGCTACAATCTCCACCAAGAATTCCTCACCAGATACAGCCTCTCTCAGGTGAACTTTAGGTCCCAATTTTGTTTGATGAAATGAGTATGTGCTAGGAGAGAATCTAATGCTGAAATGTGCAGAGAAAAAATGATGTTTGACATCACATGTATCTGCTTTGTACACATGAAATACACTCTTACCCACTATTTGATTTAAATCCATATGGAAAATAACACCAACATTCTTGGACTGCCACTGTCAGAAAGACACCAAGTTTTTCTAATAAGGTGCTCGTAAATTTAAAAGAAGTCTCTGGAAAATAAGGTTGTTCAGGTATGGTATGAAAGCAATTCCTTTCACGTAGAAAAATAAAATAAAAATTAAAAAATCAGTACTTGCTGTTGATTTAAGTAGAACTAATTCTATTTTTGACAAAAAATAATTTAAGTGCTGATATTTGCGTTCACACAACATTATGAAAAAACTGGAAGTTTTAGTGCTTAACTGACATTCAGGGAACTGTTTTCCTATTAAAAAAAACCCAAGGCACTGTTTTCCTATTAAAAAACCCCAACCTTTTTAGATTATGTTCTCCATGACTGCAGTTTATAGGGCTGCAAAACCAACAAAAATAAATTTATGTCCTTGCCACATTTCAGCTTCAAAGACAGACTGCAATTTTTATACCATAAAATGAAACTTCCAACAGTATCTCTATGAAACCAATGTATTATTCTGTTAATTGTAAGTGAACACAAATAAGTTTTTGATATAGGTATGCATTAAGTCTCTTTTTATGTTGTATTTCAGGCAGATATGCCAGGCTTTTTCAGTTGGAGAGCATAAGAATCAAAAATATAATGTGCAAGTGCATTTTTTTGAATGGATTATAAAAACGTGGCAATGAAAGTCGTTCCCTGTGCCACTTAACAGATTTCCTCCTTTTTTTTGGTTTTTTTTTTTTTTAGGAGCTGCCTGCTTTACTATGAATTGCACAATACATTTTTTCCACCATCTGAATCCAAAATTAGAATTTAGGATCATGTGGTTTTCTTCTGGAACAAAGCACCTGAAGCAGCAGGGTAGGATTTGAGCCTGTTCCCCAATCCCACAGCCCACGTGGTTCCTGCACTGGGAAAACAGGCCCTGGACACGAGCACAGAGACAGACAAAGCACAGCTGGGAAAAGGATGGTCAGGAGAGTCGACTCTTGAAAGAACATGCAAAGCTCAGTCAGAACTACAAACCCTTTCTGTGCAAAGAAATGAATTCAGCACCTCAGACACCATCAAAAGAGAAATGGGCTGCTGCTGAAGGAAGTTGGGCCAAATTTCCTTCAGAAAATGCTGCAGTTTCAGATCATATTAAGCCTCTTTAGAATTGCCACAGAGCACATCATGCTTGATTTATCACTCTGAGGACTGATATTTGCACATTTTGAGACACAGCAGGTTTCAGGGATTTAAATAGCTCTTAACTGAGAAATCTGTTTTGGACTTGATGTAGTCAATACCAGAAACAAGGAATATTGTGGAAAACAAGGGCAGGTGGGTTCTTGTAGATTCCCTCTCCTTCCAGAGCTCGTATCCCTCTTCTGTTCTGGTGAGAAGATCCAACCATATGTTTTCCAAGTTTAAAAAGAGCAATACAGCAGCGGATGTAAAGAATGCTCTTGAGAGCACCAAGTTTTTACACCTGTAGTTTCTGAACACTGTCTGCATAACATCAAAAAGAAACTCAATGCAAACATCAGTGCAAACTCAATGACCTGGTGAATTAAAAAGCCAACTCCCCAATGAGATAAGTTATATAGGATCAAAAATAACCACCATTACTCACCTAATGTTAAGGTAGGTGAGCATTTGCAGGTTTTTAATAGATTCTGGAATGGATTTGATGCAGTTGTGATACAAATTTAAAGTTTCCAGTGGTGCAAACAGCCAGACATCAGGAGGAATTTCAGTAAATCTGTTCTTTGAAAGATCTACAAGCAAAGAAAAAAGAAAAAATCCTTTTTTAGTCAAAATTTTCCCTGCAGTAAGAGGAGATAAAAGTACTCACTGATATTCTTGTCATGCTCCTAAAAATTAAGGTGTTGCAAGAAGTGTAAAATAATTCAGTTTTAGCAGATGCTACTGCATATAATTAATACACAAAAGAGACTTAAGATACTAAAAGATTATTGCTTAATATGCAATTACAACAGAAAATAGAAGAATGACAGGAATTCAAAAATACATTTCCCACTACACAGTTACATTTACAATGACACTGAATATCAACTAGGCTTGTCCCTCCTCTATCAAGTCTTTGTTCTGTGCAGTTCTGGGATTTCTTCCCCTCCAACTCCAGGCACAACAGTAAGTCAAGGTACAAACCCAGCCCACGTTATTTTTCCTGTTTGACAGCTACATCAGAATCTAATGTCATTGTACAATATATCTGCAATGCTAAAGCCAAGTTCCCCAGAAAGCCTTACCATTTATTTTAAAAACTACAATTCTCATCTAAAAAATATTCTTTATTGCAAGCACATTTACTGGGACTTTCTCCAGCTACATATTTATGATTTAGCTAAAGAGAGGATAAAGCTGCAAAAACCAATTACCTATAAAAATCAGGATGCAATTTAGCCTTGCCTAAAAGCAGCAAGAGGAGGTATCTGACAATAGAAATGTAATACTTGAGCTAGAGTTATTCTGACAATGCATGACTGCATTATGCAAATCTGCATGCAGAAGTTAGGACAAACCAGCACATTACCAATATACACAGCACCTCTGGCTGCCCTTGAAAAGGTCCAGAAAATATAAATGAGATGTGACCTAAGAATCCTGGAAATTATCAGTTAACTACCAAAACCAGTATCATGAAAAGTCCCCCAAACAACCTGGGAAGACCTTTACTGGAGATATTTACTGGAGAACAACTGTCTGCTCTTCTGAAAGTAACTCTGGTTCCCAACCCAAGATATTTCAAAAGGATGTGGTTTCTCAGAAATGCTGAACAAACTCTTTTAACAGAGAAGCAATACAGATCCCTTGCTATTTCAGGCTTTAGTTCTCAGTTTTTAACACTCACATGGAATAACTGTGTGTCTGCTCAGCTCCCATCACATTAGCATCTGAACAAACATGTAGTTCTGCAAAAAGTCTAGAAAGCAGTTGGAAAAGTGGCTCAAAGACACTGTCAGGTTCAGAGTTCAACAGCCTGGCAAACCAACCATGAGCAGCATCACTGTCTAAAAGTACCTGACAGGAGGGTGTAGCCAGGTGGGGGTCGGGCTCTTCTCCCAGGAACCAGCAGTAGGACAAGAGGGCACGGTCTTAAGCTGTGCCAGGGGAGGTTTAGGTTGGACATTGGGAAGAAATTTTTTACAGAGAGAGTGATCAGACACTGGAATGAGCTGTCCAGGGAGGTGGTGGAGTCACCATCTCTGGAGGTGTTTAAGGTGAGAGTGGATGTGGCATCAGTGCCATGGGCTGGGAACCACGGTAGGGTTGGATCAAGGGCTGGACTTGACAATCTCAGATAAGTCCATGATTCTATGATCACCTTCCAGTGGCAGTAGCCTCAATTTTATTTCTTGAAGTCTAGAATATGTGACATTTTGTGACCTAACTGGTTGCCACTCCATCATTTCTAAGAAACATTCTCAAGCTGAAGTATCACCAAGTCTTCTTATAGATCAAGGCATGCTCTGCTGATGCTGAACTCTGCAAAAATAAAGTTAACTAAAACTGAACATCCCAACTGAAACACTTATTAAAAAAATTAGCACAGCTTGAGAAAGTTTTCACAGTCGGTGAGGTTTGTTTTCTGTTTCCCATCGCATCAATTTTCAAAATGTTACAGAAAAATAACAACTTTCACATGAAAGTTTTCTGCAAAACCTCTTTTAAACAAATGCTCTCTTGTTCTAATATTCAGCAGATTGAGACAACTGCATGCATAAAAGATGTACAGTTTTATTGCTTGCAGGGTTCTACAACCTCCACCACAGGATGAACAGTCTTTGATACAACCCCATTCTGAAAAAAACAGCTCTAAGCCTCTTCCTGATTTGGTTTTAGCAGCAGCTGCAAAGGGAACTGAAGTCTAGCACAAAACACAGATGACAGAATCCCACCCTCCTGCCACCAACCCCAAGAGCAGCACTGTAGGTTATATTTGAACTGGAAGACTCCCGGGCACCATGAAAACTTTGCTGCTGTATTTGCATCCAGCCACATCTCAGCCACACATCTGGGTAAGAGACAGGTTAAAAACCAGCTTTGCTGTTTCTTCTGCAGAAACAAAACCCAGAGGCAGGACAGACAACGACTACAGGATGCACCAACTGACTGCTCTGGACAGTGAGTGGCCCAGGGGTGCAGTACTCCCCAGGCAATATAAAACCAGCTGTGGTTTCCAGCTTGGCCTGACAAAAATCCCATTGGCACAGTCTGGTTGAAGCCCCTCAGTGCACCCTCCTACAAAACCCACACAACTTCACAGTAGGAACAAACACATACCAAGCTGACAATATTTGTGTATTGCTGTAGAAACCACTTTGCTGAAAACAATGCTTTTTGTTGCCCTGCTGTGGGGCAGGGATTAGTTTTCGGTTATGAAACCCAGAAGTCCTATTAAAATAGGAAATGGCATGCACTGTCTGTCAATAATAAAATAAAAAGGTAAATAAAGTGATGGGAGATTGCCTGACTTCTCTGCCAAGCAATTTTTCATTCCAAAGCAGTATTAAAATAGCCCCAGGGGTTCAGACTTTTCTAAGGAGAAAGATTCAAGTGTCTATGGTTTTCCACAACATTCTCATATTGAATGTACTTACAGCTTTTTAAAAACAAGTAATGCTATTTTTATCCAAACTAAAAAATTGTTTCTACTCCAAAAATATTTTCACAACAAGTAAAAAGTTTGAGATGATATTGTCTATTATGCTAAATAAAATGTAATTGTGAAGCTTATGCAATTTAGGTATTTTTTGAAGACTAAAAACACAATGGATGGCCAAGAAAATATGGTAAGAAACTTTTGGAATAGAGTGTTCCTCTATAAACAAGACAGACTTCCAGTTAAATGAGAAAATGAGAAATCATCTCAACTGAAATATAAGCAAGCTGCTTGCACTTGAGAATGGTTTATTAAGGGTTAATAGACTGAAGAAGCAAGGAAAGCTGCTAAATGCAGAACCACAGATGATTTAAGATGACAACTCCTCTAGATGTGAGATTATAGGAATCCTTTGCTTAACCAGTTTAGGCTGGAAAACTCTCAGTGGGAGTGTTATGTGACAACTAAATAGAAGACACTCTCCATGCCTGCTCATGGATCACAGGGTATTTCAATCCACTATCTCTGCAGGAACAATAAATGTGAGAACTACACCATTACTAAGGTTAAATTTAAAAAGGGAACTAGAAAAATATGAAGAAGTTGGTTGCAGCTGGTTTTGTTGACAGAAAAAGGTAATGTCTTTACTGACTGTAAGACAGTGACTAAAAGAAAATATACTGAAAGATCAAAAGGAAAGAATTTTAGGAAATCAGTCAGCCTGGAAGGGAAGCTATTAGAAATAAGAAGCTATCTTGTATAAATTTAAGCCATGATCAAAAGGAAAAACAAAAAGCTCAAGTTGTCAGGTTACAGCAGTGTGCAGCAAGGTAGTTAAATAGTATTAACATGCCATTTGCCTTGGTTTTGCACTTTTCCCTAAGCATGCATTATTGCTTACCACCAGAAACATGCTGATAGAACAGACTGGCCTTTTATTTAAACCAGTACAGTCGTTTTATATTCACACTTTACACACACTGCATGTTGAATTTGAAAACAAGGCTTAGTTGAGAAATTTACACTTGAACCTCCCCTTGATATTGTAATATTTTTCATAAAAATATGCTGCTGATCCAGGATATTGGTGTTAGGCTTTGTTTGCTCAAAGTGCTTCAAAACCTTATTTAGAAACCAGATTAAATAAAACCACATCCCCCACCCTGCAAAATCCAGAACTGCTCTCCTAACTTGTCACACATACACATTTTCCTAGTCAGCTTTTCTAGCAATGCTTTAGCCTAAGCCAACCAAAGTCTAAGCCAAAAACATCTAAGCACAACTGTAACTATATAATTAGTCCTACAGAAGTCAATGGATGCACAAAAACAAACATTCAGACCTCATCCCAAAGATACACTTTCAGCCATTCTAAACATTAATCTGAGATCACCACAGAGAACGTGGATAAAACTTATCAGTCTGTCATGGATGAAGATTCTGGAGAAGAAAAAACTAATCTCAACCAGAGACACTACAGAAACACCTACATGGTTTAATTCCAGTTTCTGATGTGGTATTTCAGCACAGAATATCTACATAGTCTAAGAATTAGTCTTTGGTGTAATCACTAATATTTGTTTCTATCTTCTTTTAATCTTCAAAAAATTCATGGAAATACTATACAAGTACAAAAAAAAGGAAAATTTAAGAAAATCGTCCTTTTCAAACTCTGCTAATGCTTGAGGCTCTTCTCCAGTTTGCTGAGAAACTAAGAAAGGCAGGAAGAGATCTGTCTCCCATTACCAAGCACAGAAATGGCACTTAGCATGAAGAAACCAATTTCATTGTTTATGTAACAAAGCTTTCTTCAGTCAGAGGATGACATAACTGAGGCTTTTAGGACAATCCAGAAAACCCATTTCAGAAAGACTGAAATATCTCTGGAGATTCTCAAAAATCAACTGCACAAGGCCCCAAGCAACCTGCTTTCCCTGGACTTGTTCCCATCAGGAGATTGCCCCAGATGACCTTTGAAGGTCTCTTTCAACGTGTGTAATTACAGGATATAAAACTGTAGTTTGTTTGCATTACAGGAATGTAATTATCTTATCACTGTTTGGGTAATTCAATTATCAGTTCCTGATGAGGGTAAAGAGAAAAACTAAAGATGCATTAAAAGAGCCAAGTGTGAGTCTATCCACTT